TTATTTCTTCTTCACTCTTTTCCTATAGGGAAGATGTTTATTCCCTCTGGCTTCTTTCAGGATTATTTAATTTACTAGAGGCCCGGTGCATGAAATTCGTGCATTGGGTAGCTTTGTAGTAAGTCTTGAAGGTGGGTAATATCATCCCCCAACTTTGTTCCTTCAATATTGCTTTGGCTATTCTGAGTCTATTGCCTCTCCATATAATAAAATAATATTATTTTATTTATATTAAATAAATATCCATAACATAACTTGTTAGGATTTTGATTGGGAATGTATTGTATGTAGATTTGCGTAAAGTTGGGAAGAACTGCCATCTTGACAATATTGAGTCTTCCTATCCAGGAACATAAAATTGATTTAGTTTTTCTTTGATCTCATTCATCAGCGTTTTATAGTTTTCCTTATATAAATCTGGTACATATTTTGTTAGATTGATATCTAAGTATTTCGTTTTTTGAATGCCAATGTAAATGACATTGTGTTTTTAATTTCAAATTCCACTTGTTCATTGTTGGCATAAAGAACAGCAATTGGCATCCTACAATCTTGCCATAGTCACTTATTAGTTCTAGAAGTTGTTTTGTCGATTCTTTTGTATTTTCTACATAGATAGTCAGGCCATCTATATGAACAAGGACAGTTTTATTTCTGCTTTCCAAATCCATACCTTTTTAAAAATATATAGTTTTTATTGATTTCAGAGAGCAATCCATACCTTTTTTAAAAATATAGGTTTTATTGATTTCAGAGAGTAAAAGAGAGGGAGAGAGAGATAGAATCATTGATCAGCTGCCTCCTGCATGCCTCCTACAGGGGATTGAGTTTGCAAATCAGGATGTGCCCTGACGGAGAATTGAACCGTGACTCCCAATTCATAGGTTGACACTCAACTACTGAGCCACACTGGCTGGACCCAATCTGTATATCTTTTGTTTCCTTTTCTTGCCTTATGGCATTACAAGGATTTCCAGTACAACAGTGAAAAGAAGAGGTAAGAGGGGACATCCTTATCTTGTACCTGATTTTAGTGGGAAAACTTTGAGTTTCTCACCATTAAGTATACTATTTGTATATTTTTTGTAGATAGTTCTTATCAAGTTGAAAAAGTGTCCCTCTGTTCCTAGTTTACTGAAAGTTTGCATCATGAATGGATTTATCAAACATGTTTTGTGCATTTATTGATATGATCACTGATTTTTCTTTTTTAGTCTGTTGATGTGATGGATTACATTTATTGATTTTCAAATGTTGAACAGACTTGCATACCTGGATAAATCCCACTTGTTCATGATATGTAATTCTTTCTATACTTTGGGTGATTTGATTTGCTAATATTTTGCTGATGGTTTTTGCATCTATGTTCATAAGATATTGGTGTGTAGTTTTTTTATTTTTTTCTTGTAATGTCTTTGTCTGGGTTTAGTATTAAAGTAATACCTTGTTGAATGAGTTAGAAAGTATTTCCTCTGCTCCTATCATCTGAAAGAGATTTTAGACAATTGATACTATTTCATCCTCACATGTTTGGTAGAATTCACCAGAACCGGTCTTGACCTTGTGATTTCTGTTTTGGAAGTTTATTAATTATTGATTCAACTTCTTTAATAGATATAAGCCTATTCATAATTCTGTTTCTTCTTGTGTGAGTTTTTTAAGATGGTCTCTTTCAAGAAGTTTTCCTAGGTTATCAAATTTATTGGCACACAGGTATTCATAGTATTCCTTTATTGTCCTTTTAATGTCCAGAGGATCTTTAGTGATGTCCCCTTTTTCATTTGTTGCTTTTTAAAATGTTTATTAAATTTATTGGGTGACATTGATTAATAAAATTATATAGGTTTCAAGTGCACAATTCTATAATACATCATCTATGTATCGTATTGTGTGTTCACCACCCAAAGTCAAGTCTCCTGTGTCACTATTTGGCCCCACTTTACACTCTACTACCCTCTCCCACCCTCCTTTCCCTCTGGCAATCACCATACTGCTATCAGTGTCTATGAGTTGGTGTTTTGTTTTATTTTGCTTTATCCCTTCATCTATTTCACCCAACTCCCCAACTCCCCTCTCCTCTTACAGCTGTCAGTCTGTTCTCTGTATCTATGAGTTGGGGCTCCTTTGCCAGGAAGCTGCAGTTTAACACGCCCCAGGGAGCCACCGGTCTGTCCCCAGCGGGACTGGGCAGGAGGACAATAGATTCTTTCTCACACAGTGAGGACTGGGTGACATAGGGAAGGTACTCCCTGTCAGTCACACCTGGGAACAGGTCATTGGCCAGAGTAGGCGTGGCCACTGCAAGCACGGGAAGATCTGAGGTAATTACTCTCCTGAACAGAGGAGGTCACGCTCTTGGTTCTCTGACACTCTTGGCTCTTGTGTTTTGGGGAGTCCTGGGATAAGGTATTTGTCTTATTCTGACTGGCTTATTTCACTCAGTGTAATACTCTCAAGGTCCATCCCAGCTGTTATAAAAGGTAAGATTTCCTTCTTTTTTATGGCCAAGTAGTATTCCGGGGTATAGACGTACCACAGCTTTTTTTATCCACTCATCTGCTGATGGAACTTGGGCTGCTTCCAAATCTTGTAAATACCACTGTAATGAACATAGGAGTGTGTATACTAGTATTCTCTTGAATTAGAGTTTCAAGTTTTTTCGGATATATACCCAGAAGTGGAATTGCTGGGTAATAAGGCAGTTCCATTTTTAATTTTTGAGGAAACTTCATATTGTTTTCCACAGTGGCCGCATCCCTCTCATTCCTTGCCAACAGTTGTTTGTTGATTTATTGATGCTAGCCATTCTGACAGGTGTGAGGTGGTATCTCATTGTGGTTTTAATTTGCATTTCTCTGGTATTTAGTGCCATTGAGCTTTTTTCCATATGTCTATTGGCCATCTGTATGTTGTCTTTGAAGGTGTGTCTACTCAGAACCTTTGCCAATTTTTTAATTGGATTGTTGTTTTTTTGGGTGTTGAATTGTATGAGTTCTTTATAAGTTTTGGATATTTGTGTCCTCTATTTTTTTATTTAGTTAACCTAATAGAAACTTACTATTTTATTGATCTTTTTAAAGAACCAGCTTTGATTTTATTGATTTTCTTTGTTGATTTCTTGTTTTCAATTTCATTGCTTTCAGCTCTAATTCTTTTTTAAAATAATTCTTTTTTATTGATTTTTTAGAGAGACATCAATTTTTTATTCCACTTATTTATGCATTCACTGGTTGATTCTTGTGTGCGCCCTGACTGGGGACCGAACCCACAACCTTGGCATATCGGGACAACACTCCAACCAACTAAGCTACCCAACCAGGGCTCAGCTCTAATTCTTATTATTTCTTTTCCTATGCTTACTTTGTCTTAATTTGCTTTTCTTTTTCTAGTTTCTTACAATGGTTAACCTCAGTGATTCATTTTAGATTTTCCTTTTTTTTCTAATATATACATTCAATGCTATAACTTTCCCTTTAAGCACTGCTTTCACTGCATCTCACAAAGTTTGACAAGTTGTGTTTTTATTTTTTAATCAGATCAAAATATTTTTAAATTATTCTCGAGATTCTTCTTTCATCCGCATATTATTTAGAAGTATGTTGTTGACTGTCCATGTATTTTGGTGTGTTCCAGTTAGTTTTCTGTTATTAATTTCTAATTTATTTCCATTGTGGTCTGAAAGCAGATATTGTATGATTTCTATTCTCATGAATTTGTTAAGGTATGTTTTACGGTCACAAATGAGGTCTATCTGGGTGTGTGTCTGCTGTTGAATGAAGTGGTCCACCGATGCTACTTATATCTTTTTTCATTTAATAAAGTTTTATTTTTCAAAATGTACAGCTGGGGGTACCTGTTGCTCATGCATCTTCACCAGCAGCTGGGGCCTCCCACCTCGGGTGTTTCTGGTGTAAGTTACTTGAGCTCCATGCTTTGGAACCAGCTTAATAAACCCTTTACCAAGGAGCTCCTGAAGGGCTGCCCTGGCCAAGGAGCCGCGGACCTCCAGGCTCTGCGACAGCAGCTGGGGTCATAAGCCGACAGTGGGAACTTCCTTACAGAGCTTGTCATAGGTCGCTTTGTCAGACAAGGCTAGGTTATTGAGCTTGTCTGAAATTTGCCTTTGCACCACTTCTTCTTTTTGGGCTTGCCCCCCAATTTGTTCACTGGGACTTTGTCTTTCTTGGCTGTCTTTCTGGCACCTTCTTCTTCTTGTCCTTGGGTGGCATAGTGAACTCGAAGAGCAGCTGCTGTCACTGCAACATCAATCAGATGTCGGGCCAACGAAAGCCCAGTTTTTTCTTATTGATTGCTGGTGTTAAGTTCAACCATGTCCTCACTGGTCTCCAGCCTGCTGGATCTGTCCGTTTCTCAGAGAGGACTGTTGAAGTCTCCAACTATTACAGTGGTTTCATGTGTTTCTTCTTGCAATTCCATCAGTTTTGACTAAAGTAGTTTGACTCTCTGTTGCTAGGTGCATACATGTTAAGGGACACCCCCTTCCCTGTGCACACATTTTGTGCACTAGGCCTCTAGTAGAAGTATAAACAGCCTTGCTCAGGTTAGGTCTGCACATCCAGACCTGCACAGACAATATGTTAGGAGAAGCAATAGGCTGACTCTGAGTTTAGTGGCCAGACTGCCTAGGTTCATCTGAACGCTGTGGCTCGTTGGCTGGAGACCTGGGGCAGATTACGTCACCTCTCTGTCCTCCATATGATGTCACGGTGAAATGAGTTATTCATAGCACCTAATTCATTAGGTTGCTGTGAAGATTAAATGAGTTACCTAATGTTATATGCATTGACTGTCACTATGACGTTTACCATTATTTAACACAAAGTAATGAAGACTTTTTAGAAAAAGGAAAAATAGGTTTATTTCTCCTCTATCTATTCAAAATATATCTTGATCATCAGTAGCGTTATATAGATAGCATTTTGGTTAGGCAGCACTAGGCATTACACAGCACTTGATGGTGAAGATATCTGTGCTTTCTATTTCTGCTGCCTAGGAATGTATAATGCAGTCAGAATGGGGTAGCGCCGTGTCAGATAAAAGTCCAGATAAAAGGCAATTTTTTGGGCGGGGCGCGGGGACGGGGGGCAGGCAAGGTCAGCTCTTCATTTGGCAGCATGCTTCTTATATATCTCCAAGAACTCAGTCACGTCTTCCGGGGACCCCAAGATGACTGGCGCCCTCTGGTGGATGTCAGTGGGAACGATGTCCAGTATAGCTTCCTTCCCAGTGGTAGCCAATCCTCCCGCCTTCTCGATGACATAGGCCATTGGGTTACATTCGTACAGTAGTCTCAACTGGAAAACAAGAGCCCAGAGCAGCGTCTTCACACCAGAAGGTATTTCACAGAAAGAGGATTTATTCCACAGCAAAATAGCGCAGGGCTGGTGGACGTTTCCAAGGTAACTGAGACTCTCCTTTTCCTTCTATGAGGTTGTAAAAGCCCCCTCCAGGTCACCCCCAACTGCCCCCTCCCTGCCAGCCTAGTCATCCCTCACTAACCCCCTACCGGCCTGGTCACCCCACGCAGCCTGCTGTTCAGTCATTTGGTCATCCCTCACTAACCCCCATGCTGGCCTGGTCGTAGGCAGCCATCTTGTGAGGGCATGAGGGTTAATTTGCATATTACCTCTATTATATAGGATCTTTGTGGGGGTTTATGTTCATTTGTTTGCTTTTGTAGTTTGAAGATGTAGTTTTTTTGCATTTAGTTTGCTTGGTGTTCCCTGAGCTTCCTGGATTTGTAGTGTGGTGTCTGACATTAATTGGAAAGATATTCTCAGTCATTATTGATTCAAATATTTTTGTTCCTTTCTCTCTTTTTATTCCGGTATTCCCATTTCACATATGTTACATCTTTTGTAGTTGTCCCACAGTCCTTGGATATTCTGGCTTTGTTTTCTCAGTCTTTGTTTTACATTTTCAGGGATTCTATTGATATATTCCCTGGTTCAGAGATTCTTTCTTCAGTCATGTCCAGCCCATCAAGGGCATTTTTCATTTCTGTAACAGTAGTTTTTAATCTCCAGAATTTCTTTTCTTTTCTCTCTCTCTCCCTTTTCCTCTCTTTCTTTCTTTCTTTCTTTCTGCCTCTTTTATTTTATTTTTAGGATATCCATCTCTCTGCTTACATTGTCCATCTGTTCCTGATTGTTGTCTGCGTTATCCATTAGGACCCTTAGCATATTAATCATGATTGTTTTAAATTCCTGGTTTGATAATTCCAACGTCTCTGCCTTGTCTTGCTCTGGTGCTTGCTCTGCCACTTCACAACGTGTGTTCTGCCTTTAGTATGCTTTGTAACTTTTTATTGATAGATGGGCTGATGTCCTGGGTAAAAGGAACGACTGCAAATGGCTTTTTGTAATGTGATGGTGAGGTGGGGTGGGGGGTGGGGGAGTGTTCTACAGTCCTGTGATCAGGTCTCGGTCTGTTAGTGAGCGTGTGCCTCTGGCCTGTGAACTTCACAGTGTTTCTCAGTTTGTCTCCCCCTCCGCCCCTAGGTGAGACGGGATGGTAGAGTCGGCTGGAATTAGGCATTTCCCCTCCGCAGTCCGCAGTCCGTCAGGCTCTGGTAACACCAGGGGAGGCTCTGGCTGACTCGTGTTCCCTGAGGGCTGGCCGTGTTAAGAGCAGAGTGCTCTGCTGTATTTCAAAATGGTCCCTTTCCCCTTCCACCCTGCCAGAAGCCCCAGGGCATTTTCTCTGATATTTTCTATGGCAACACGGCCAGGCTTCAGAGGCAAATCTCACCACGGTGTGCCTCCTCCCCCATGACTGGAGTTTTTAACTCACAGACCTGCCCACACTGAGCCTACAGCAACTTGTCAATTATAGTTCAGGTTCTCCTAAGGCGCTGGTCCCCAGGGTGGTTTCCCCTTTTGAGTCTCTGCTCTGGAAGCCCATGATCCCCGTTTTCACCTGTTGGTCTCTCTAATCTCAGGGGCAGTGGTTCGCCCTGTGCCCTTCCATAGCATAGGGATCCAAGAAGAATTGTTGTTCTCCAGTCTGTTTGGCGTTTTGTTTGTTGGGATGGAGTTTCATCATGGCGATACTGTTGTGATAAACCTAGTCAGGAGTAATAGGAGCGAAGGGAAGGCCAAATAATACAGGCACGCCATTGGGGCTCCTTTGCCAGGAAGCTGCAGTTTAACACGCCCCAGGGAGCCACCGGTCTGTCCCCAGCGGGACTGGGCAGGAGGACAATAGATTCTTTCTCACACAGTGAGGACTGGGTGACATAGGGAAGGTACTCCCTGTCAGTCACACCTGGGAACAGGTCATTGGCCAGAGTAGGCGTGGCCACTGCAAGCACGGGAAGATCTGAGGTAATTACTCTCCTGAACAGAGGAGGTCACGCTCTTGGTTCTCTGACACTCTTGGCTCTTGTGTTTTGGGGAGTCCTGGGACTCTGTTTGCAGGGGGTGTGCGCTCTTGGCTCCCCTGCATTTGCCCACATGGCTCACAGCCGTGCGGACTCCACACACAATGGACTGTAACCAGTCTGAGGCCGCGCCAGACCCAAGACCACCATGGAAAGAAAACTTTGGATACTGGCTCTTTGCTTCTAGCTCTACTGAATCCCCAGTTGCACATCTTCTAGGACCGGATTAAGGGAAATGGGTCTTTGGAAACCCAAGGATGTAATTGCACAAAAATAAAGCTTTCCACCACATCTCATCCTCCCATGGGGGCCCCTGGAATGCTTATTCCAGCGGTACCCCAGGACCCCCACTACAAAAATAATTTCCACCACATCTCATCCTCCCATGGGGGCCCCTGGAATGCTTATTCCAGCGGTACCCCAGGACCCCCACTCCCACTAGCAATGGAGAAAGACCATCCACTCATTCCACTGAAAACAATAGCACTGAAGTGGGGGCGTATCATTTCCATCCGGCTCCCAGACCGACACATCTCCCTCGGTGCTTTGAGAACCAGAAGGTGTAAGAACTGACAAGTTGGTTAAAAACCAAAAGGTGCTTTGTGAGTCAGAGGACTTTTCTGCAAGACCAGCCTCAGTGGGAGGGAGGAAATACTGGCGTTGGGTCTAGTCAGTGCATAAAAGCAGGTCCAATGCTTAAGATCAAACTAAGTTTTTTTGTTGGAAAATCGTGGAATTGATGAGGTGTATTTAAAGAAAACGGAGCAGGACCCTGGCCAGTGTTGCTTGTGGTTAGAGCATCAGCCTGCGTACTGAAGGGTCATGGGTTCGATTCCTGGTCAAGGGCATGTACCTGGGTTTCAGCTTTAATCCCAGGCCCTGGTTGAGTGTGTGTGTGTGTGTGTGTGTGTGTGTGTGTGTGTGTCAACCAATCAATGTATCTCTCTCACATTGATGTTTTTTTCAGCTTTGATCCCAGGCCCCAGTCAGGTGTGTGTGGGAGGCAACCAATTGATGTGTCTTTTTGACATTGATGTTTCTCTTTCTCTCTTCCTCCTCCCTCTCTCAAAAAAATATCAATGGAAAAAATATTCTTGTGTGAGGATTAACAACAAAAAAGGATCAGGATTTACACAAAAAAACTTTTTCAAGTTCACAAGTAAAAATAAATAATTGTTATAACATCAAGAACTTAACTTTGTAAAGTTGCTGTACACCTGAAATGAATACAAAAAAATATTAAATGTAAACTGTAATTGAAACATATTTAAAAATAAAAAAAACTAGAACTCAACAAAAACCACCAATGATTCTTAAAACCTAGTATAATTTGCCATGATCTTGGCAATTCTAATCCAGAAAGAACCAGGGTCAGCTAAGGGAGTAAATGTTTATACGAAGAGTCTAATAAGAAATTCACTTGCTTGCAACAATATTATTATTTCCATAAATTGTGCATTTAATGATGAGTCTTCTTTCTTATGGTAATTAGACCTTTAAAAGTCACCACGAGTAATAATATAAACCTTCATTTGTGACTTAGATAATTATGTGCATGTATGGGAGGCCAAGAGGTTGTGGATGGGCACCATCACAAACTTATCACCTCTCCAGGCCCCAGGAGGTATAAATAGTCTTGCTCAGGTTAGGTCTGCACATCCAGACCTGCACAGACAATCTATACTAATAAAAGGGTAATATGCTAATTACTGGCCAAGGAGCCGCGGACCTCCAGGCTCTGCGACAGCAGCTGGGGTCATAAGCCGACAGTGGGAACTTCCTTACAGAGCTTGTCATAGGTCGCTTTGTCAGACAAGGCTAGGTTATTGAGCTTGTCTGAAATTTGCCTTTGCACCACTTCTTCTTTTTGGGCTTGCCCCCCAATTTGTTCACTGGGACTTTGTCTTTCTTGGCTGTCTTTCTGGCACCTTCTTCTTCTTGTCCTTGGGTGGCATAGTGAACTCGAAGAGCAGCTGCTGTCACTGCAACATCAATCAGATGTCGGGCCAACGAAAGCCCAGTTTTTTCTTATTGATTGCTGGTGTTAAGTTCAACCATGTCCTCACTGGTCTCCAGCCTGCTGGATCTGTCCGTTTCTCAGAGAGGACTGTTGAAGTCTCCAACTATTACAGTGGTTTCATGTGTTTCTTCTTGCAATTCCATCAGTTTTGACTAAAGTAGTTTGACTCTCTGTTGCTAGGTGCATACATGTTAAGGATTTTTATATCTTCTTGGAGATACATTCATAGGCAGACATAACCAAATACAGTGTTGCTATTATTACTTTGAACAAACTGTTATATGCTAGCAGCTCTTAAGAGTAAGAAAAGGCCCTAACCAGTTTGGCTCAGTGGATAGAGAGTCAGCCTGTGGACTGAAAGGTCCCAGGTTCGATTCTGGTCAAGGGCATGTACCTTGGTTGTGGGCACATCCCTAGTAGGAGTTACAGACACTGACTCCCAGAGACACCGCCTGCGATCTGGAAACAAGAAGAGATTTACTTTTTCGATGCGTCCATTAGCAAAGGCAACAGACGGCCCCGGGAGGCCGTGAGGAGGCAGGACGTGTCTGGGAGCTGAGACACCAGTGATTTCAGAAGCTGTGCCCCAGCCCCGGCTCCCAGTGAACTGTGCTCTGGTTCTGCCACTGTTTTCCCTCAGGTCACCTCGCTGGAGACTTACTCGAGTGCTGTCCCCCACCCCTGTTTATTTATTAAACGCCGGCACTTCCAAGGAGGCAAAGTGCAGTTGTGCAAGAGTGCAGGGGGCAAAGGCGCCCGCACCCTGGTTTACCGGCCCTGCCGCAAACCAACCCCAGCCTCTCCAGGAGCAGCCGGTCGCTCCCAGGACCCAGCCAGCTGCTCGTCCTTGTGTTCGGTTTGTCAGCAAAAAGCACCAAATAAACAACATGCGTCATTAATGTCACCCAAGGACATTTCTAAAAGTAAAAGGTGTTTATAAACCCTTGGGGCACGGGGCCAAACACACAATGAACATGCCAACCTAGTAAAGACTGTCCTATGGGGTGTGTATTCAGTGGTGGATTTCGTGGCACCAGATATTTGAAAAGATTTCTTTCCCTCATTCATCTGCTCTGTTGACACTGTCATCTAAATCAGCGGTCGCCAACTGGTGGTCCGCGGGCCACTGGTGGTCCGTGAGGTCCGAAAGGTTGGCGACTGCTGAATCAATAGGTAAATAACCCCAATGAATAGATACGTAGGACTTATCCACAAATGAAAACTGCCAATGAGTATTGTTCATGCACCCTGGGCTTCTCTCCATAAGGTAGCTGTTCTCCATAAGGTGGGCCAACGACTGATCTCCATTTCCTTCTTTACTTTCACGCCCTTGAGTTCATCAGAGCCTTGTCAGAACTGCGGAGGTTACCAAAGGTGTGTCTGCCAGTGCACAGCATATGCGTTCAGGTGGGCTGCCGTTCACTGAGGACATTAGTGATGAATACAGTGGGGGGTTCATATAAGACCAAATGGTTAATTTAGCATTTGGTTAATTAAGCCATTCATCAAGCCAGAGGCAGGAATGGACTGCTTGATGCGAATATGAGACCGAGCACCTGGACTCGGACTGAATGACATATTGGCAGCACCGATGGCTCCCCTCTCTTTATGGCACAGCGACTGGACCTAATGAGTGATTCTGTGTGTTTTGGATGGAGCTTTGCCTATTCTAAAAGCATAAAAAGAATTCATGGTTGTGTCTGGCTGCAGACATCTGGAAAGCAGACTGGCTCCTCCAAACAGTATGATATTGTTTGCAACTCTACACACATTCCTTTTATAATTCTCCCAAGGCTTGCGGGTTGGGATTTACTATATTATAAGGCTTGGCATTTATTTTTAAATATTAACTTTTTTATTGTGTGTGTTTTCATGCAGTCGCCTACGGAGCGGGCAGCTCTTTGCAGGTGTTTCCTGACTCTATTTCCAGACAGGTGTCATGGCCAGATTTGCAAAACTGAAAAAAAGAAGGAACCTCAGTATTTCTGTTAAAAAATAATTTTGGGGACCTTAGGGAAAAGCGCTAGAAAGCAGCTAATCACATAGGCGGGCGGGTGCCCGAGGTGGCTGTGGCAGGAGTGGTGCTTTCTGTGAACACAATGTCTTCAGTGAAGCGGACACAATGTGCTGTAAACAGAGATCTGAATACAGATTTCTATCTTAAGGGGGTTATTGTCCCTATTCCTTCTCTCATATTAAAAAAAAAAAGACTGTCTATTGGGAAAAAAAAACAAAAGGACAGTACTTGGGAAGGCAGCACTGTCCCCCTGTGCGGAAGGGCGTGCGGCCGCTCAGCCAGCCGGGCCCCCCCACCCCCACCCCAGCCTGAGCACACGCCGCGGGCAGTAACTGGGGCGTTCGTGTAACGGGTCACCCAAAAGCCCCAGGTCTCCCCGGAGGTCCTTCCCTTCCCTAGAAAGGTACCATTTTCCAAGCAGCCAATGTCCGCTCATTAGTTATTGCTATTTTATGCCTTTTGAAAGCAATGAAAGAAAACCTCTATTTGGAATACGGATTTGATTTGCTGCCTCGGTAATGGGGCTGGACTGCTTCATTTCTCTTTATGAATGGAATTTATTTTGCTCAAGCCAAACCGCGTGCCCACTGGAAGAGCTGAGCACGTTCAGCCCCTCCTGACCATAACACCGTGACTGATTGCTAGCAACAGAGGGCTCTGCAGGTACTGCCTGACTTTAACCAGAACAACCTTAACCCAGATGAGGATATGCCACAGACATTGTTAGCATCCCACGGCAGACTCTGACAGCTATCACCACCTTTTCTTCTTCCTCAGTCAACCCCTGGGCTGCAAATAAAAACCACCGCTCCTCAGAGGATCTGCTTACCTTTCCCTTGGGGCTCTTCTTGTTAGCCGGGTACAGGAAGATCCCTCCGTAGACCAGGGTGCGGTGGACATCAGCCACCATGGAGCCCACGTACCTGGAGCCGTAGGGGGCTGAGTTATCCTGCAAGGTTAAGAGCAGCAATCATTAGGGCTGCAGAGAAGACAGAAAGGGAGTTCTCTGTGTCCTCTACACTTATTTGACTCGACAATCGTTTAGTGAGCACCTACAAGGTACTTGTTTAGGAAATGGGATGAAAATCCTGTTCCCAAGGAGCAGAAAGTGGAGCAGTGGAGACGGCCTCTCCTCCATTGTACAGCAGGTCCAATTACCCTCAGAAACCCCACGGAAGCTGCTGTTGATTTTAGCTATGGGGTTGGGGCAGGCATCACATAAATGGTGCCACTCAGCAGAACCCTGCAGGTTAGGAAGGATTTTGCCAAGCTAAGGCGCTGGGCAAGGGCGGGGTTTTCATCTTGCGGGAAGGGACGTACACAAGCTAACAGAGAAGCAAGTGCTGTCCA